GCCCCCACATGTCTACGTCATGATGTGGGAAGATTTGCATAACGCTGCCCAAATGTTCACGCAAAGAAAGGCGGCACTTCTCTTCTAACTCTTCTAACTTTATTGTTGCTGCCACCATGTTGTGAAGACGCTGTGTTTCATTGCAAAAGCGAAAATACATTGTTTGGCCTTCCAAAAGAGGACACAAATATTCAGATGTGTCCAGCGCATTTTATGGAGGACTGTTTCCTGATCCTGGTAGAGTAGACTACAATGCCGGCTGTTCTGACTCCGAGACTGTAAGTACTTTTTCATATTTAAACCAGTGTTTGAGCAGTGTAGAGTAGCGCTTGTTATTTGTCATTTCCACTCGTTGCCTTCTCTAGTACAGCTCAACCAGATCTCGTCCCATTCATCGATATTTGTGGTATCACAAATCCCGGAAAATATGTGTTGTAGTCCAAACGAGTCGTTCGTTGTAGTTTTTGAAAAATTATTTCTGTTAAATAAAATATTTTCCAACTTTTGAAGTGGACTTTGAGCTTTGTAACTTCGCAAATCTCTTTTATGCTCAAACAGCAACATTACAAACTAACTAAAGTTGAAGCATCACAGTATGGTAAGGGGCGTAACATTTCCGTCACACGCTTGAGGAATTCAGCCAATCACAACGCACTGGATAGCTGGCCAATCAGAGTACACCTCGCTTTTCAGAACGATGAGCTTTGTAAAAATCGACGCGTTTCAAAAAGGTATTCAATCAAGACCTTCATAGAGGAGAAACAATAATGTACAGTATGTGGAAAATAATGTTTTTTGAACCTTAAACCTCAAACACATTTCATTACACCAAATACACAAAATAATGTTATTTTTAGCAGCATCATATGACCCCTTTAAGCTCTCTCTGAAGTATTGTGTTTAAATGGACAAATTCACTCATAAATTATGTCAAAATGCCCATCTTGGTAAGTATCCTATAGCAGAAGTAAAATATGCAATGCTATTTTACATTTGATTACTTTATTCAATTTCTGTGCCTAAAAACTAATGTTAGACCTACCTAAAAAAAAACAACTGAAAATCACTGTTTATTTTATTTGTATCTTTACTCTATTGTATTTATTTGTGCTGTTGCTTGTAGTTAGATAGATTATTCTTATTTTCTTTATTTTTATTTGACAGTATAGTTTTTCCCTAAACATAGCACATACCGAACCATACCGAAACCGTGACTCTAAAACTGTGCTGCAAACCGAACCGTGAGTAAGTTGAACCGTTCCACCCCTAGTTAGTACTAATCAAAGAAAAAAAAAAGATTTTCAGTAAGGTTTTCCACAAAAATGTTAAGCAGCAACTGTTTTCAATAATAAGTAATGTTTCTTGAACACCAAATCAGCATGTTATGATTTCCAAAGGATTGTGTGATAACATTAAAATATAAAACAGAAATTAAAAAAAAATAATACATTGTAATAGTATTTAAAAAGATTACCATATTTTTGGTCAAATAAATACTGACTTGGTTAGCAAAAATATTCCCATAATATATAAGATATAATATTAAGATATCTGACAGAACCCAAGCACAAAACTTCCAAAAAGTTCATCAGATAAAAATTTTTATACACGTTCAAATAAAGGTACGTTATGTATATTTAACACTATATTAATTAATCATCCAAAACTACTGTAGTAAAACATAGCATTTTAAGAAATGTCACACTGTACTGTATACACTGGTCTATAAACTACATATTTAAAACTACACTAAATCTAAGCTGGATAGACTGCTTCACTATCTCACTACTACCCATAAACTACTAATACACCACATCCTGTATAACCTACAGTACACAGTCATTTTACACAGTACATAAACTATAGCCTCACTACAGCCCATAAACAACACATTTTACAAATAATACAGCCTGAAGTATAAATTACACCCTACACACTTTTTAAAGAAGGCTCATGTCATACATTGCAATAATTACAGAGGTCTGTAGGGTTAAAATCACTACGAGCCTGTAAGAATAAAGACTTATTACACACTACATGTCACATGGTTTCTAGATACCATTCCCCGCTTAATATGCAGACTATACGCAAGTCATTTGTAGAATGATTTATCAAAAAAATAAATAAAAATTTCATAAATCAACCAATGGTTCAACCAGTTAAGTGAGTTTGGGGCAGGGCTATCTGCTTAACTGACCAATAAGAAATGAGGAGAGCTTTGGGGAAATCTGTTTGAAAGCAGCATTATGTTTCCAATTCTGTTTGGTTATACTAGCAGTGAGGAAATTACACAATTTAGCTTTAAACATTGAAATTCGTCTGCATTCAGTCTGTTCTTCATTCACTTTTTTCTCTGTCAGCTTCCTCCCCTCATCAGGGGCGGCGCTAGAGAATTTTGAACGCAGGTGCTGAGGGGGTGCTAGATCATTGACGGGGGAGCTGGGCAATTAATAGTAAATATAACCAAAACAGGTTATTATTCTTTTTTTATATGAATAATAAAATAAATATAAGGAAAACTCGCCTACTCTATTTTGTAATATTCTCTAATTATGTAGTCCGTATGAAAAGGTGCATTTCGAGTAAAGACACGTCCATGAGGAGATGGCGAGTCAGCGTCGGAATTCGGCAACTTCATCTTTGCAGCCGACACCGACTCAGAAAGCACTAGTTTATTAATAAATAATTAAAATGTCTTCTTCCCCCCTCGACACATTCATAATCACTTTGCCGGTGCTTTGAGGCAATTGCTTTATGTAGGGCAGGGGTCTCCAAACTCGGTCCTGGTGGGAGCAGGTGTGTTTAGGCAAGTTGAAGCTAAACTCTGCAGGACACCGGCCCTCCAGGACCGAGTTTGGTGACCCCTGATGTAGGGTGACCATACGTCCTCTTTTTCCTGGACATGTCCTCTTTTCGGACCTAAAAAAATTGCGTCTGGCCGGGAATTTCTAAATCGTCCAAAATGTCCGGGATTCGGCTTTTGCTTTCTGCAGTCGCCATTCATTGTGTGCGTTTTTGTTTTAGAGCCCTGCGAGGGACTGTTTTATTAATCCCGCTCCCGCTGAATTTCTGACCATTACCGCCCGCTCCCGTGATTTTTGTGTCCAGTCCCGCCCACTCCCGCAAACATTCTAATATAGCATATCATTTTCGCGCATCAGGGAGCCGCTATCAATATGCGGAGTATTTAAATCTCTTTTGAATGAGCGCTCGCGGTTCACTTTCACTTTCGATTTAGCAATCGCACTCTGTGTAAAGGAAGATCAGATATTTGTCAGTGAGCTCAGGATCTGTTGAGCAGCAAATCCTCCAGCATGATCTGTCAGTCATCTCTCCTCTCAACCCGTGATCAGTCAAATCTGACTCCTGCAGCTCGTGTTGGATGCAGGGTTGTCAAGTCCACGGTTTTTTTTTTTCAATGGAATTGGGCTACTTTTAAACTGTTACCATGGGTTGATTTTCCCCATTTGAAATGTTGCATAAATTAAATTTGACTGAAATGCTTGTATTGAAACATTTTGCATTCTGTGATAAAACTGTGCTAGATGTTAAGTTTTGTGAAGGATGGCCACTGGTAGGAAGCTTTTTAGCTGTGTTTATGATCAATATGCATAACAGTGACTGTAAATGTAAAATGTATTTTAGGTATGATATTTTGAGTTTTGTTATTTGGGATATGGTCATTGCGTTACTTTGGGCATTACTTTAACCACCAACCAACCACACCACAGCCCCCCTCACCCACTGTCCTCTTTTTGGAAAACTAAAATATGGTCACCCTACTTTATGTGCGAGCTTGAGCGCGGAATAGGCTATAATACGCCTGCCTATATATTAAAGGATGGTTTAGTATATTATTATATTAATCAATATAATAACAAGGAAGCGCTCCATTTTTTAAATAAAATGCTATAATGACATGACGAAAAGCGCGACAGCTGCAAATCACGTTGTTATTGCATTGCACGAGTTATGCATGCATAAGGAGTAAAAATTTTTTATTTTGTTTCTTTTTTCATTTTCAGCTTATTTATTAAATACAATAGGCTACAGCACGTACAGCGGGTACGGAAAGTATTCAGACC